GTTGCAAACTTCCAAAAATTTTTACAATGGGTTTATTGAAAAAAATCCACATATAAGTTGATTCATGCAGTCCAAACTTGTATTGTTCAAGGGTCAACTCGCTATGGTAAATATATACATATACACACACGTCCTTTTTGTAGTCCCCCCACCCCAAATCAGGTTCATTATATACAGAATTTCTTAACATTAATCATGTTTTAACTCATTTCTTTATTTCCGAAGTATTTTATATTCTAAATCCGATAAGAATTTTCCATTGTTCTCACAGTCTAGATCTATGGTTTGTTATTTCTATTTACTCTCATTCATAATTCCTTATTTCTTTGTTGGTTTGGTGTATTTTTTTACAAAACTCATTCTGAAGAAACCTTAATGGCCTAATAAACTATGCATGGTTTCCTCTAAAGGTTTGTTTCTGATAATGGCCAGGAGAACCTACTGACTTAGGACCACTTAATAACCCTTTGAGGGTCCTAGTTTAATATAGGAATTTCTCTTTCAGTGCCTTCAATCTGTGAGGGACCCAAGACTTAATATTAACATAAGAATCAGGATGCTACCATTAACTTTTGCTCCAGCACAAACCCTCTTTTAGAGTTTTCTATAGCACACTTCCCAGCCTCTGATTACAGCTTACCTCTCCCTCTGATTTCAGTTCACTCATCTTTCTCTTTGTGTTTTCCTATTCTCTTTTGATCCTAGGAGCTTTCCCTTACTTTTTCTGAGCTTTAAAAATTATTATTCAAGATTTAATTACACAGCAACATGAAATATCTCTAATGTTTCTATTTTGCTTTACACTTTATGTTGTTGTTGTTGTTAAGTGCCATAGAGTTGGTCCTACTCATAGCAACGCTATGTACGACAGAACAAAACACTGTCCAGTCCTGAACCACCCTCACAATCATTGCTATGTTTGAGCCCACTGCTGCAGCCGCTATGTCAATCCATCTCATTGGGGGTCTTCCTCTTTTTTGCTGACCCTCTACTTTACCAAGCATGATGTCCTTCTCTAAGAACTGGTCCCTCCTGATAACATGTCAAAGTGTATGAGAGAAAGTCTCACCATCCTCACTTCTAAGGAGAATTCTGGCAGTACTTCATCCAAGGCAGATTTTTGTATCTTTTTCTGGCAGTCCATGGTATATTCAGTATTCTTTGCCAACACCATAATTCAAATGTATCAATTCTTCTTTGGGCTTATTCATTGCCCAGTTTTTGCACGCATATGAGGAAACTGAACATACCGTGACTTGGGTCAGACTCATCTTAGTCTTCAAAGTGACATCCTTGCTCTTTAACATTTTAAGAGATCTTTTGCAGTTACACTTTATAGTCCAGATAATTCTTGCATATTTTATTTTTGCTTAGGGGTAAAAACCAAAACCATGCCCATTGCTGTTGAGTTGGATTCCAACCCATAATGTCCATATAGGACAGGATAGAACTGCCCCATAGAGTTTCCAAGGCTTTAAATTTCTTTTTTCAAAATAAATTTTCTTTTCATAAATCTTTTAAATTCTTCTGATACATATAAGTTATAGTATAACTTTAAGTGGCAAAAATGAACATATTTATTATTAAACCCAAACACCAGGATATCTTTTTTCTGTGGCATAAAAAGTAAGAGCCTGTGGTAGTTAAGGTTGTTGTCAACTTGTCTGGACCTTGTTGAGAGGCTGGATAGCTGGATGAAGTTATTCCCCATGGTGAGACTGGCAATCAATTCCATGGTAGAATCTACTAGAACAGCTGAGTAGCTGCTTTAGAGATGTGGTCTGCTTTCTGGATATAAGCAGTAGCTTTGAGGAACGTCTCTAGCTTTTTGGCACACTTGACCCTCCATGTAGCCAAGTCTTCATTCAGCAGCCTGCCATATTCTGCCTATCTTGGGGCTTTTAATGGACTTGTATCAAAGGCCTTCCTTGTGGTTTGGTAATATCAGGACTATGCCTTTTTACTTGTCGATATTAGGTTTGTCAGCCTCAGCAGCCAGCAGCTGTCTGAGTGAAGAGAAACCTCTAGCTTCTGTGGGCTGGAGCAAGAGGCAGGGCTGAAGCCCAAGGTTGAGGGGCTTTCACCCAGCGCCTAGAGTCTGGCATCTGGAACTCGGGACTTCTAGCCTCCAAAACTGTAAGAAAATAAACTCCTGTTTGTTCAAGGCTTCCATTTGTGGTATATTCTGTCACAGCAACACTAGGTAACCAAAACAGAGCCAATAAACTTCAATTATAATGAATATCTATTAATTCAATTTTATATTAGTATGTTACCTAAAAAAATTTGGAAATGAATTTAAGCTGATAACAAAATGAGAAGAAACAGGTACAAACATCCATTAATAGTCAGAATATGGAATGTACAAAGAATCAGTTTAGGAAAATTGGAAGCCATCAAAACTGAAAGGGAATGCATAAAGATATGGAATGCATAAAGATCGATATCCTAGGCATTAGTGACCAGAAATGGACTGATACTTGCCTTTTTTATTTAACCTCCAATTTTCTTTTTTTGTGTGTGTGTCTACCCTCTAGTCAGTGGTTTAGCCTCCCCTCCCCATCACCCCTGGTAACCATCAAATAATATATTTTTTGTGTGTGAAACCCTTTCCTTGACTTTTTACAATAGTGATCTCATACAATATTTATCCATTTGTGATTGACCAACTTCACTCAGCTCTGGTACTGACACTGGTGGTATAGTGGTTAAGACACTAGAGTGCTAACCAAAAGTTCAGTGGTTCATACTCACCAGCTGCTCTGCAGACAAAAGATTGTTGTTGTTGTTGTTATTTGCTGTTGAGTCGGCCCCGACTCATAGCGACCCCTACTTGGGTTTCCGAGGCAGTATCACTACGGAAGTAGGATTGCTCACCTTCCTTCTGAGACAAAAGATTAGGCAGTCTTTTTCCATAAAGATTTATGACCTTGGAAACACAATGGGGGTCTCTATGAGTTGGAATCTACTCAATGGCAGTGAGTTTGGTTTCCTGGAACCTCACTCAGCATAATGGGTTCTGAGTTAAGGCTGTAAATCTTTATGGAAGCCGACAGCCAACTCTTTCTTCCACAAAGTGGCTGGAGAATTTGAACTGTTGACCTTTAGGTTAATATCCAAGTGTTTAACCATTATGCCACCAGAGCTCCTTAATGCCCCCAAACTTAGTGGACTTTTTCTTAGTGCTACAAAGTATATCCAAATGATATTTGATGCTAAATAATCTAGGAATTTATATTAATGATCTAATGCATAGTTTAAAATCAAGAAGGGAGTGCATCGGGGTTGTATCCTTTCACCATACTTATTCAATCTGTACACAATCCAAAAAGCTGGATTATATGAAGAAGACATGGCATCAGGATTGGAGGAAGACTCATTAACAACCTGCGATGCGCAGATGATACAACTTTGCTTGCTGAGAGTGAGGATGACTTGAAGCACCTACTGATGAAGACTTAAGATTGCAGTATGGATTACACCTCAATAAAAAGAAAACAAAAATCTTCACAACTAGATCAGTAAGCAGCATCAAGATAAATGGAGAAAAGATTGAAGTTGTCAAACACGTTATATTACTTGGTTCTACAATCAACACCAGTGGAAGCAGCAGTGAAGACATCAGATGACATATTGCACTGGGCAGACTGTATTTGGCAGATCTGCTGCAAAGGACCTCTTTAAAGTGCTGAAAAGCAAAGATATCTCCTTGAAGACTAAGGTGCACCTGACACCAGCCATTGGATTTTCAATTGCCCCATATGCATGTGAAAGCTGAACAATGAATAATGAAGACCAAAGAAAAGTCGATGGTTTTGAGTTGTAGTGTTGGCCAAGAATGCTCAAAGTATCCTGGACTGCTAAAAGAACTAACAGATCTGTCCTGGAGGAAGTGGAGACAGAATGCTCCTTGGAAGTGAGAATGGCCAGACTTTGTCTCACCTA